AGATTGGTAGAATATCTTTACTGTTTTTTTTTTGAAAATCGTTGCTGATGGCGAGAAGAGTTTGCATTTCAGACATTTATATTTTGTTTAAATATTTTAATATTGATTTCAATATTTAAGTCTAAAATCTAGAACTGTAACTGCAATGTAAACTTAAATTCGTAATTGACTCAATTTCTATGTATTTTACTAAGAAAAATTTATTAAGAAAAAAGAATATTAGCAAGTATTCTTCCACATTATGATCGATTGTTATTTATCATATGATTATAAATCAATTATAAAACATCATAAATGCCTACGAGATGTCTCATTATCACATTACATCTCTATTATTAACATTTTAATATGACGTCGTGATTTTATCGATTATGATAATTAGTATAATAAATTAAAATATTGCAAAAAAAGTTGCAACATTCTCTCCACCGTAAATCAAATCTATACTGAAATGGTAATAAATTATATATATATATATATATATATATATATATATATATATACATATATATATATATATATATATATATAATACTATATAATGTTATATATGAACGTTAATATTTTTAGGTTTTTAATAATTTTTAATACTTAAAAAATGATGTAATTTATTAACGAGTTTTCAAAGGCATTAGAAAGTAACAATAAGTTTGCGTCTAAAATTAACAAAGAACTAGTGGTGTATGGCTACGTGCCCTAAGGCAAATTGCTGGAACTTTCCGTATCTTCAAAAATCTAAATTATTTTTGATAATCAAAACAAAAATTTTGAAAATTAAAACAAAAATTTCTTTTCCCAAAAATAATCGTTTCGCCAACACAAGCAGAAAGTTTATTGAATCATTCAAATCAGATGCCTATTTCTTTAATTTTAAAAATATATTAATAGATAGTTAATATTCTAATACATGAAATATCCTAATAAAAAGTTTTCAATACTAGTTTTCATACTGGATTTATACTTAAACAAATTTAATATAAATTATACTTTTGGTACAAAATGGAGAAAAACGATTCAAGAAACTAGTTGGTTTGGTATTTAGCCTTGAGGCAAATTACATGAACTTCCCGATATGTGTAAATAATCGACTTGATCAAAAAAATGTGTAAATAATATACTTCATCAATCCTACTTTAAAAAAAAAACGATAATAATTTTAGCAAAGTTTGACGAATTTTTAAAATTAAACTACTTGTTGTAATAATATAAGGCCGTAATATTACAGTAAGTTCTACAAGACCATGATGTATATCGCCAAAAAAAGTTCCATGAAAATCGGCTTACATTTTTTTTAACAGTTCATTACAAGAAAACGGCTCGGTAGATTTTCACCTAAAATTAATCAGTATCATTCCCAACTAATATCTTTCGAACAGTTTTTGATTTTTCAAAATCGGTTCGGTAGGATGAGCTTAAATGTGGACGAAAATTTAACACTTTTTTTTAACAGTTAATTACAAGAAAACGGCTCGGTAGATTTTCACCTAAAATTAATCAGCATCATTCCCAAATGATATCTTTCGAACAGTTTTTGATTTTTCGAAATCGGTTCGGTAGGATGAGCTTAAATGTGGACGATAATTTAACACTTTTTTTCAACAGTTAATTACAAGAAAACGGCTCGGTAGATTTTCACCTAAAATTAAACAGCATCATTCCCAAATGATATCTTTCGAACAGTTTTTGATTTTTTAAAATCGGTTCGGTAGGATGAGCTTAAATGTGGACGAAAATTTAACACTTTTTTTCAACATTTAATTACAAGAAAACGGCTCGGTAAATTTTCACCAAACTTAATCAGCATTATTCCCAAATGATATCTTTCGAACAGTTTTTGATTTTTCAAAATCGGTTCGGTAGGATGAGCTTAAATGTGGACGAAAATTTAACACTTTTTTTCAACAGTTAATTACAAGAAAACGGCTCGGTAGATTTTCACCTAAAATTAATCAGCATCATTCCCAAATAATATCTTTCGAACAGTTTTTGATTTTTTAAAATCGGTTCGGTAGGATGAGCTTAAATGTGGACGATAATTTAACACTTTTTTTCAACAGTTAATTACAAGAAAACGGCTCGGTAGATTTTCACCTAAAATTAAACAGCATCATTCCCAAATGATATCTTTCGAACAGTTTTTGATTTTTTAAAATCGGTTCGGTAGGATGAGCTTAAATGTGGACGAAAAGTTTAACACTTTTTTTCAAATTACAAAGAAACGGCTTGGCAGATCGTTTCACAAAACTGACAAACGATAGTCCTCACCGAAATACATCAAATGGCTTTTAAATTTCTAAAATCGGTTCAGGCGTTTTTGAGAATACGTCGATCAAAAGTCTAATTTTGACAAATGCCAAAAAGACCATACTGATTTTTGCAAACTTTGACGAATTTTTAAAGCTGAACCAGTTGTCGTAGGGCCGTAATATTTTAGTATGACCTAGAAAACTATGGTATCTATCGTCAAAAAAATAATCATAAAAATCGTCAATTTTTTTTTAAAAAAAACTTCATTACAAGAAAACGGCCCGGCCGATCTTTACCAAAAACTAATCAGCACGATTCCCAACCAATATCTATCGAACGGTTTTTGAATTTTCAGAATCGATTCAGAATTGCGGGCTAAAACGTGGACGAAAAATTTTTCACTTTTCTGCAATTTACAAAGAAACGGCCCGGCCGATCGCCGCACAAAACTCAGAGACGATAGTCCTCATCGAGATACATCAAATGGCTTTTAAATTTTTGAAATCGGTCCAACCGTTTTGGAGAAAACGTTGATTTACGGCAAAAAATCTGTTCACACACACACACACACACATACACACACACACACACACACACATACTTTTTCCAAATTTGGTCTCATTCGATTCAGAATGGCTCGAAACGTCGAGAAAACATAAAATTAGCGATTCGGATTTTTTGATGAAAACATAAACTTCTCCTTCGGGAAGTTAAAAAGTGAATCTTGTTAAATTTATTACATTCTATATAATTTCGAAGAAAAAATGTGAATTTACTTTGATTAATAATATTTCTAACATCACAGTGTTACTGGAAGTGGAAAGTACAAAATATACTTTCACACAAATTTTATTAAATTATTTTGTTCCAACTTTAAAATTCAAGCAAAGATTCAAATTCAAGAAATCATGATGATAGTGTGAAATGTGGTCTTAAGCTAAATAGATATTTTATTTATGTCTATAATCGTGTAAGTTGCTCGCAATCATGTGCTTTTTGGAGGTTAGGTTTTATGTTTAAACGCCTGTTCGCATAAGAAATACATAGCTTTTTGATAGTTCTTCAATAATAAGTTAAATCTACATTTACATACATACACATTAGAGTGGTCCTTAATATGGATTTTTTTAGAATTTCTTTGCTTCTTCAATAATAGTCATATCTACATTTATATACATACACATTAGGGTGGTCCTTAATATGTTTTTTTTTTCGAATTTCCTTGCTTCTTTAATAATAGTCAAATCTACCTTTACATACATATAAATTAGGGTGGTCCTTAATATGGATGTTTTCAAATTTTTTTGTTCCCAGGGGCTCAAATGGTTCCAAATTGGTAAAAAAAAATTCTCTGAAAATTTCAGCTCTTAATATTAACTCTAACATAGTCCGCACTCCAACCAAAGTTTCTTTGTTTTTTTTTCCTGAGTAAATACTTATTTAGGAAATATATAAAAAAACTAGCTGTAAGTGGAATTCTGTCTTGAGGCAATTATGGCATCGTGCCTTAAGGCAAATTGCTGGAACTTCCCGCACCGTAACGAAATGTTCGAGGAATACTGAATGTTTTCAAATAGATTATTATAAATATTGTAACATTGTCTAATATTTATAAGAATTATATAAACCGAATTGCAGAGTTGAAATTATTTTTAAAGTATATTAGAACTATAGTCAGAATTAAAAATAAAATCTGAAATATTTTCGATATAAAAAAAAAAAAAAAAAAAAAAAAAAAAAAAAAATTGGAACAAAATTTTTTTTTCAAAATCAATTATTTTGTTAAGACAAGCAGAAAGTTCTTTGAATCATTTAAATCGGACGCTTAGTTCTCTCAAAAACAGCCATTTTTTACATATTTAGCTCCGTATCTTCGAAATGGCTGGGCCTGCCTTTGCCAAAAACTAACAAACACTTCTCCCAATCATTACTAATTGAATGTTTTTTAGATCATTCAAATCGGATACTCCGTTCGCTCAAAAATTCGATTTCTATTTTCTGCACTCTTTGCTCCGTATCTCCGAAACGGCTGGACCTGCCTTTGTCAAAAACTAATCAGCTCTTTTCCCAATCAATAGGAATCGAATGTTTTTTGAACCATTCAAATCGGTTGATCCGTGCGCCCTAAAACGTGACTGGAAATTTGTATCCATACATACATACACACACACACACACACACACACACACACACACACACACACACATCCATTTTTTCTGAGGTATGCCAAAACGTTCAGAAACCTTCAAAACGTCGAGAAATGTAAAAATTTTCAATTCCGATTTTCGGCCCATTACAATAACTTACCCTACGGGAAGTTAATTATTGTAATTTTTTTTATTTAGGATCAAAATGAGCAAATACAATGCTATTCTCAAAATTTTGATTCACTAGTCTCATAGTTATAAAACAAATGGAAATTGACTCACAGAAACTTTGGTTGGAGTGCGGACTATCTTAAAGTTATTATTAAGAGATAAAACTTTCAGATAATTTTATTTTATCAATTTGGAATCATTTGAGCCCCTGGGTGCAAGGAAATTCGAAAATATCCATATTAAGGACTACCCTAAATACACATACATATTTTTCCAAATGTTGTTCCCAAGAAAATATAAAATTTAAACACGACATGGTATTTTTTGTAAAAAATCGTTTTTTTCTTCATGAGGACTGAATTTCGAACAGTCAAATCTTTTATCATGTATATCGAAAAATGGTTATTAATATTTACGTATTTTTTTTCTTTGCAGTTAATACTGTCAGCAGCATGCTTAGCAGCAGCTGTAGCCCAAGTAGCTCCTGGACAAAACGCTTATTTACCACCAATTAGTGGATACCCATCTGGACCAAGACCAAATCAGGTAAGTGATCCAAAAATTGAATTCTAAATTGATAATTTTTACTAAAAACTAAATAAATAATTGCTTATAAAATTACATTCGCTGGTCTAAATCATTTTTGCCAAAAACGTGATAATTATAGTTGCTTATGAATTTAGATTTGATGACCAAAATATTGCTGATAGTCAGCGTAGAATTGATATAACCTGATTAAAATTAGGCATCGCATTAAAAAACTTTTGAAGTAAATCTTGTAAGCTTTTAGATAACTTTAGAATAAATTGGCCAACACTAGATTCCAACCAGAATATTATTTTACCTCAAAAACAAGACGACCAATATGAACACCAAAATAGAATCCAATAGATTCCTTTATCACATTTAGCACAATTTTAACAAAATCCTAATCTACCAACAGACTTTAGACAAATTAATACAGTAAATTAGTTAATAGGCTTTCGATTAACTACTAACCTTTAACTTTGCTTAATATCAGCAACCCTTCCCTACACGACCACCCTACCAGCCAAACTCAGGTTTTCCTTCGGGACCAAGCAGTTATCCAGGTCAACGTCCAGCAGGACCATCAAGTTACCCATCAGGACCATCTGGTCCTACCAGTTACCCTTCAGGACCATCAGGAGGCGGTAGCTATCCTTCTGGACCATCAGGCGGAAGCGGAGATGTAAGATGATTTTTTGATAGAGAGAGGAGGATGTCAGAAGAAAAATGAAAATGAAAATTTGATTTTTTTTTTAACTATTTTTGCAAAACAAAAATTTCAAACGTTCATAACGTTGATATAAGGAAAATCTTTATCTACTATTGTTTTTTTATAAATAGTAGATAACGACTATTTCCAGAGAAATATTTCTCCAGGCAAGCTAGCAACTAATGGTACTTCGATGAAGAACCGAAGAGACTATTCTTTTGTAATGATAATCAACCAATTTAATTTTTAGCACTGATTGATATAGAAAGCTTATTTATTTTAACGCTACTTTAACAGATAATTAAATAACTTAAGCAAAATTAGAAGAACTGCGAAGTATACATGATATTATAAATTTACTTTTTAGCATAGATTGATATAAAAAGCTTTTTTATTCTAACGCTGTTTTTATAGATATTTAGATAATTTTGTTAGAAATTAATATTGCTTAAACCAAACATTTAGAGAGATAATTTAAACTGAATAATTAGAATTTAGAAATTTGCTGTATTATGATACAGCATTTGGCTTTAATGATGAACTGCTTTAATAGCGTTGTTTTAGTTTAGTAATAAGAATGATTTTTACTAACTTATTAAAGCTAGATTTTCAAAATGCCCTAAATTATTTATCATATTTTGAAATTTCAGCAATTGCTTTATTCGATAAGAAATATTTTGATAGACCCTTAAAAATTACATTTATGTGAAACAATAAAAATGTATTATATTAAACACTCACCGAATTGCAAGAAGATCCTTACAAGAGTGGATGATCACAACTAATTTACCACAATTCCAATAAATCTGAAAAACAAATTAAATGAGTTAGAAAACAAGTCTTAGATAAAATTTAAAGCAAAAATTAAATTTTTTTTTTAGATATTAGCTACGCAAGTTTTAAAAAGATATAGACATCACAAAACTTAACGTTGATATAGATTTAATGAATTGGTCCATAAAATTAACCAAAGTTTAATTTTGAAATCAATAAATAAAGAACCGTCAGATAAGGCTAAATTACGTTATTATAAAATTTTATTTAAAATCTTTTTATTGTTGTTTTATTTAATTTCTTTGAACTTTAACGATTTTTTCAATTACATACAATTTTCGTTCGGCTTACATTTTAAAATTTACTACCTACTTAGAAAAATAATTAAAAATCCTAATTATTCCTCGAAAACCTACACAATGTAAATGGATTGAATGTTCCAACTCTCTATAAATGTCTATAAATTGATACATTTTTATTTCGCAAATTGTTTGATAAATTGATGTAAGCAATTTGTTAAGCAAGCTGAGCAAATTATTTAAAGATTTCAAAAGAAGACCTATATTATAAAATATATTGAATAAAACAATGCAGGGCACATATTGCAACATTTCTAGACGTATTAATTGATATTTTGTTTATATTTAACTTGTAAGACCCATATATGTACCTACATATTTTTCGAATGTGAACTTGATCAGAGACAAAGGCAAAGTATATTACGAACGTATAAAACAGACATTGATTTTTCCAATAAATTTACAATTTTTGTGATCCAGCAATTCAACAGTATTGCTAAAAGTCTAAATGAAAATATTTACGATTTTATTTATAAATGCATAAAATATTGATAAATATATATAACTATGTAACTCGCTAAATGATAGAATTGCTATGTTTGGAATTTTTGGATTATTCAAACAAAAAAAATTTTGGCCCAACCGATTTCGGCAGAAAACAATTTAGCATAGTACTCAAATGATATCTTTCATTGTTCAAAATCGATTTATGAAATTTGATTAAAATGTAAACAAAAATTTTACACTTTTCGGTCAATTATAATGAAATGGCTTAGCTGATCATGGAAAACTGATCAACGCAAGTCCTTATATTGAGATACTTCAAATGGCTTTTAAATTTTTGAATTAGATTCAGCTGCTTTTGAGAAACCGTCGACAAATGGTCTTAGGATGGGCTCACATACTCATAATAATACTTTTTTCCAATTTTGGTCTTTGGAAACGGTTCAAAATGCTTAGCTGATCATGCAAAACTGATCAACGTAGGGTCTAAAATTGGCACATAGACATAGCTATACTTTTCTCAATTTTGGTCTGAAACGATTCAAAATATCTTGAAATATCGAGAAAATATAAAATTTGCTAGTCGGATTTTCTGATAGAAACTTAAACTTCTTATGGAGAGCATTTCCATAAATGTTTTCTCTGTTTAAGTTTACGGTTGTACTTACAAAGCCTTTAATATTCGCTAATTGGGCGAATTTGACTAAAATTCAATACTTTGTAATTCAACGATGATTTTATTATACATCGATTTTTTGTACACTTTTTTTCTTTTTTACATTAAAATGTCATGTCACACTTAACCTAATTTGGAGCTAAATTGCTCCAAAAAAATGCTATCTTATAGCATTAGTCTTCTGTAAACAATTGAAAGAATAACAAATATCCACACTAAGATAATATTCTGCATATAATTATTGTTTCACACAACATCTTCGTACAATCGACTCAAAAATACGTATCAACCCATCTATCAATTTCATTTAATTATCAATTACTATTAGCACCAGCACGTCCCCGGAATGCCCTTCGACTTCGCCTACGCCGTCCAGGACGCCGAGTCTGGCAACGATTACTCCCACAACGCCGTCAGCGACGGTGACGTAACGAGGGGCGAATACCGAGTACAACTACCCGACGGCAGGCTGCAAATCGTCAGGTACACTGCCGACTGGAAGAACGGTTTCAACTCAGAGGTAAGTAGATGGAGGAGAGTAATGGATCAATTTACAGTAGGCCAATTGATTGATGAATTTTATTTATTATTTGATTTACAGTAGATCCATAGATAAATAAGTATAAATAGATGGCAAACACGGCCGCTTTGATGTTACATCAATTATAATTCTTTCAGCATTCAATAGATGTCGTCACCAACTGTAGCACGTAAATTTACCATCAGGTTCAATTCTAGATAAGATTTATTTGAATATGGGTAGGTCGATGAATTTTTCAAATGTTGAGTAACTATCCGATAACATTAAATAAGTACAAGAAAATCAGTGATAGTGCAGCATTTTCGTCATTGCCCTCGGTAGGCATAAATTTAATTATTAAATCCAATCTCTCCTAGATGAACTTGTTTAATGATAGGAGAGCAGATACTCATTGTTGTTTTTAATTGATGCTGAAATAAGGAAGATTAGGAAAAAGCTATATTAACTGGAAAATAATCATATAATAGTAGTTTCATTGATCTATATTGATGAAAAAATCAAATAATAGTAGTGATAATAAATAGTCTTTTATTATCCAAAGTAAATTAGTCTAGAAAAAACTGCATCGTGTCAGATTCTAGATTCATGTTCAGAACTGCAACGTTTGTTTTTTTTCTCGTGATAAGAGTTTCTTCTAATTTTCAGAAGATACTTGAATGTCAATCATAAAATTCTTATAAACTTGATTAAATTATAAATGTTAGGGCGTTCGCTCTAAGGTCCAAAACAAAGCAAACAAGATATGATGATAATATAAATAATTTTGCAGATTACTGCTTAATGCTGAAAAAACTAATAGAGTGGAAAAATGCCATTTAAGAAAAAAAAAAGAACCAGGAAACGACAGAAACAAACTTTGATTATCATTCCAAAAAATTCGCAACTCTTTTAGATTCTTGTTCAGCTGTGAAAAAATATTGGAAAACATATGCTCTAGAGCAGAGGCAACTTTTTTTGTGAAACTGTGTGTAGTCAATGATTTTCTTTCTTTTTTTTATAAATTCATTTTGTTGAAATCTTTTCGGAACAAAATATTAATATTAATATGCAATTGCATGTCTTTTTCATATTTTTTTAATTGAATTATAATCGTTAGTTTTATAATTCAAAACAAAGCAATAAAGATATGATAATAATTTTTAAAAGTTACTATACATATCTATTTATTAAACACATCTAGAATGGTAGTTTTTTCAAGATTAGTTTAGTAGTTTTTGTATTGATCACGCATTTGTAATTCTTTCATATCTTTTTCAAACTAACATTAAAATTTTATGTTACAACTAGTGGTAGGGTGGTAAATAATAGTTTTTTCCCAAATCTTCAGAAACCTTTGAAAGTGAATCATTTGTATAAAGCTGGCTAATAAATTTACAATTATTTTTTAACAAAATTTATAAAGATATGTAAAAAAAACTGCATTGATTGTTTTCTCAAGATCGATCCAATCATGTACCACTTACTTGCAGCTCAAATTTTAACTGAAATCTAAGATAGTGTTAACTTATGATAGTTTTTTCTTCATTCTTCAGAGTCTACTTCAAAATAAATTTATATATATGATTATTATTATCGATTATTTTTCAAAAATTATTTCTTTTATTATATACTTGTAGCTCTAATTCAACATTGAGATCATCTGCCCAAATGAATCATTCTTCGCCGTCTACTCTGCTGTCAATCATATTTTTAAATAAATCTAAAATATTATAATTTTATAATATTTCTTCTTTATTCTTCAGTATGTACTCTGAAGTTTTTCTCATACTCTGCTGTAAATCATAAATCTTTTATAATATAGTTTGCACTCTATAATTAAGGTATAGAACACTATTACTATATAGAACACAATTATACTAGAAAAATTCACTATAGAAGTATAAACTCCATCGATCGTTTTTTTTTTATCAAAATCATTTCATTTATTACTCATTTGTAAGTCCAATTTTTCTCTCAGACTAGATACGATAGTATTTTTCTCTATTTTTTTTTATTTTTTTAAACTATGAACAAAATGAAGAAGGTCTTGTGGTTAATCAAATTAATTTAGTTATAAGTTTTCATTTTCCTTTTCTATTTTTTTCTTAAAAATAATTTTATTTGTATACATATGTTAAGATCCTAAGCCAAATGATTTTTTTTCTTAGTATTTATAAAAAATAAGCACACTTTGGAGGCCAATGTCTAAATAAATTTTTCATATTGTTCCAACTATGTAATGTTCTTCTCATATTGAGGCGTCATATTCTCTTCTGAAGTATACTCTTCAAATGATTTATTACTTTGCAAAGATATTTTTGAATGGTTATGTTAATTTTCAATTCACATTTACTAATCACATTTCACATATCCTTAGCTTAATAGTTTTAATCATATGATTTTAAAATAATATTGGAAAAATTTAGGTCAGAAACGGAGAAGAAATAGAAATCTAAAATTTGATAATTTTTAGATGCAATGAATTTCTGTCCTATTGATTGTTACCTAGATTTATACTGATAATGAGACTGCAATTTATAGAAGTAACATTTATATAAAAATATCAAAAAAAAAAAGAGTGCGCGTAAGGATCACACGCGATTGAAGTAAAACTTTTAATATTGTATGAGTAGGCAATTAAGATAAAAATAAAAAAAACATCATATTTGAATTTTAAAAATCATCTTTTAATAATCATATAACATCAATAATAATAAGATCTCCTGAGCATCGGCACAGCTGTCCTACTGATATTAAGAGTTTGAATATGATGTGAAGCTTTCTTCCTAATTTTGTTACTTATCTTACCAGGAAATTCAAACCATAAACGTAGAAGTTCATCATTATCGCCACGTTCTATGTACACTAATTTTCCTACACAACCATTAGCTAAGCCATCACTTACATCAATATTAGTTGTTATTATGTAAAATTTATTCAGAACTAAAATTATTTCATACGGCAAAGCCCCGGTATCAATAACCGATTTTTTTGAAACTGCTGACGAATGTATGATTGTTGATCTGTCGCATGGCAACCTACATAAATATCCGTGGCAGTAGATATTATTTTGTCTTCAACGAGATTCAATATAAATTTATTATATTCCATGGCACATTTATTCTCTAAGAAAAGTCTTATTCCATGAGGACATAATACAGCAACCTCTTCTTTTGTAAAAAAAAACGTGATTCAATTAATGCAAGTTCATATAGGGTTTAGCGCTCGACTTACGCATGACATGACGGGAGTGGATACTCGCGACATCAGCGCTTACGGCGTCGTAGTGTTCAACTACACGTTGGCATTTTCGTTGCATTTGTACGGATTTACACCCGTGTCGCGCCTAAAAATTTTTACACCCATATCGCGCCTAAAGAAGTTTTACTTCAAAAAAATTAAATGAAAAAATTCATTTGAAAAAGAAATCCAAATTTCAGATCAAATCCGAATTTCTAAGTCTGAATTAGTTTGCATGAACGCCAAAAAAATTATTGGAAACAAATAAATGTTTAATTGAAAATATTTTGTTGGCATAAAATTGTAGAATAAATTGAAAATTGATCCAAATTTCTATAAATATTTAAATAAGATTAATATTTTTTGGAAAGTAAGACTATTTCTTTTATTCCAGGTGACATACGAAGGCCAAGCCAAATACCCCGACCCACCAGCTGGCGGTTACCCAGGCGGTAGCGGACAAGCTGCTGGAGCCGGAGGCGGTTACAGATACTAGAAGAACATTATTCTGCATTTTTTTCATAAAAATCATCATTAGAAGTTATTTTTCTAACACACATAATCGAAAGACATACATACAGTAGTTGACATTAGAAAAAATCATATGCAATTATCAGTATTATAATAAAATCACTAACTTTCATTGATAAACCATCAAGCTTTAGTTGATCTTCTATAATGGAAATAGTGCAAGGGGATAAAGAATAAAGGATAAAGGATAACGGACAAGTATTTTACATTAAAAGAAATTGCAGACGAAGTTGTTCAGATGTGTACTTTTTGGGCATACGGAAGCGTATTGCTCATCAAGGATATTTTTCTAATCTTGTTCCTAAATTGAGAATCGATTCTATACAAATTTGATGCAAATACAACATTTTGTGCAAATATAGTTGCAACATGAATTTAAATATCTATACAATAGCAATATGTAAAGATCCAATACCAAATTGTTGCATCATCCACCAGCAATTGACAAAAATGAGGAACTTCTAAGTTTCAAGTCTGTTATCAAATTAAATCCTCTTGCATATTTCTATAAAACGCTTCCAAAATCACCAAATCTTTCTCTCATACTTTTTACTATATTGCACCAACTAATCCTTTATAATCCATTACTTTGTCAACTACGACTAAAACTTTCATACCAAAACAATTTCCCAAACTTCGCTCTCTAAATCTTTGTAGATATCATCACACCACAATGTGTATTAACAAAAAATGTATTATAATTGTAAGATAATAAATTAATTAAATTAAATTAATTATATGCTTCCAATTTGCACACATGTAGCATGTGTGCACACTTCTAACGCAAAAATTTAGACAAATCTTATATTAGACAAATTATTCTATTCTATCTCTACTCTAGATAAAATTTATTATTCCTTCTGCCATGAGATTATAATTATTTAAATCATTTAGGAGAATTTATATGTAAACTGTGTGTCTCTGAGAAAAAAAATAGAGACGCATGGTGGAGAAAATATGATCCAAAAGATGTAATAAAATATTTTTGTATGAAAATTATGAAATATAATTATAATTTAAAAATAAAAAAATGTTTTTATTACTATTGAATTTTGCTAAAAGTATTAGCAATTTGAAGCAGCTGTCTTTTGGACACAAAGTTAAGGAGGCTATTTTTCACATTATGTATAAATGATGCATACATGAAATTTAATTTGCCAACTAATTTTACCTAGAATACCTAATTAGGATGCCTAAATTGTGTTCAACAGTTGAATAGAACTTTTCATATTATGTAGAAATGATATAAGAAACTTATTATATATGAAATACATCAACAAGAAAATTTCAGTACTGAAAACACTTAGCATCTTAGAAATCGATGCTGATTTTGATATTTCACTCGATGCATCTAATACAGCTCAACCACCAAAATACATTTGCATTTCACCACCATCATATCTAATTGTACCAAAAGTGAATTTCTGTTCAAAATTATATAAATAATAAATAAAAATCCATAACTGCAAAGAGTGATTGCCTAGTATAAAATAAACACATAATGTATAAAAATATTTTTTATTTCATGTGCATAATATTTTAACTCAGGCATTCAGAGATTCATCATCCTTCTGACACCATTTAACAATAAAATGAATCTTAAATAATTGCCACTACACCGTGCATGTCTAAAATAATCCTAAAACTAACATAAAATAAATCTTAAAAAAATTAAAGCTCTAATATAATTAAAAATAACTGCAAATCTGATTTCTTGTCTGAGGTTTATAATCGCTTAAGAATTATTGGCTTATTACATAATTATTATTATTATTGGCTTGTTAAATATTTGTACCAAAAGTCTGTACTGCATATTAAAAATGAATTAATTACTATATAATCATGTTTCAAAATTTTAGTGATTCAAAATATTATTATTGGCTTATTAAATATTTGTACCAAAAATCTTTACTGCATTATAAAAATTAATTAATTACAATATGATCATGTTTCAAAATTTTAGTGATTCAAAATATTATTGTTATTAGCTTATTAAATATATTTGTACCAAAAATCTGTACTGCTTTTTAATAAATTATATTATGTATTCTTCAAAATTTTAATGATTTTTAAATTGATCAAAGTTAAATGTTTGTTTTGTATTTGAATGGAAACAAATGTTCCTTACATTATTATTATTATTATTATTATTGCTAAGGCACTACTAACTAGATCACTCATTATAGTTTGTTTAAACAATTTTATTATAAATAGATTAAAATCTTACAGTCTACAATTATAAAATTACGTATTTTTTAAGCTATATCATATTTAAATATATATATAATTAAAATATTTGAATAGCTCATAGTGTGTCAAACGGTTATTTTATTTTCTTATTAAACTTTTCAATATTAAAGTTGGTGATAGATTTCTCATGCTTTTATAATTTAATTAAAATAAATTGATAGTATTCATGTATGTGGAATCAAGCAAAGATATTCATCAAATATCTTTATTATTTAATATATAACTTTATTATTTAATTAATATCTTTCTTTATTAAATAATATTAAATTCTCCAGCAAATGAATGCAGTTATAAAATTGTGATATAAGTTTCATTAACATATGTAAATTTGCTTTTGAAGTCAAATACTTTTAACTTTAACTAATTAATTTTGCCTAAACTTATTAAATTATCAAGAAATCTTAATTTAAATTCATTTAAAATTATTAGTTGATGAAGGTCATGATATTATGAAATATATTGTTATTTATAATAAAATTATAAAAATATAATTTCAAATATTATTTAAATTTTTAATATTCTCAAGATTAAAAAGTTTAAAATTGAAATAACACTTAAAATGATATTTTTGTAAATATATTCCGCAAGATTAAAATTAAATTTATTTTAAATTTCTTAAGCCTTCATAATTTAATAAGAAGACAATCATAAAGATCAAATTCATCAAATAATTTAATTATTTATTAAATATCTGACGACTTCATTAAATAATATTAAATTCTTCAATATAGAAATGCAATTATAAAACTGTAATATAAGTTTTATTATAGAACTGATTTAAATTTCAAAGTCGGAATAAGTTAGCCAAATTATAATTCTAAAGAAAAAAAACTTTCTTAGGTTCATTTAACAATATTAGTTAATGAAAGTCTCTATATTTTAAAACATTTTGTTATTGGCAATGAAATTGTAACAATATAACACTAAAGGTTATATTATTTTCATCAATTTTTCAAATATTGGAGTTAAATTAATACATTCTCGTGCTTTTATAATTTAATTTAAAATATAATTTGGAGCAAATCCTGAATATCATGATATTATGAAATTTTATGTTATTTATAATAAAATTATAAAAATATACTGTGAAAGTTTAATTTTTTTAAAATTTGTTAAGCTTTCATAATTTAATAAGAAGACAATCATAAAGATCTTCGTCAAATAATTAAATTATTTATTAAATATCTATTATTTATTAAATAATATTATATTATCGAATAAAAGTATAAATAAATTATAATTTATATAATTATATATTTAATTATAATTAAATATATTATCAAATAAAAGTGTGTAATTATAAAACTGTATATAAGTTTCATTATACAACAGATTTGAATTATATTTTAAAGTCTAATAACTTAGGCCAAGTCATAATCGGCAATCTAAATTTTGCTTGAATTAAAAGTTTATAAAAATCTTTCTTGAATTCATTTAATATTATTATTAGTTAATGAAGGCCTTGATATTATATCAATAGAATCTAAAGCATGAATTTTATTATTTATTTATAATATAATTTTAAAGGGTTTAAGTTGTTAATATAGATCTTTTATATTAAAGATCATAATTTATAATCAGGTAATGTAAAAAACTGGGCATTTTTTGTACTATTAGTAAATTCACTGAAGAAGTAGTGTATATAAATAAAAGTAACAATAAATATTTACTTTACGAATCAATTGGCAATTATGGACATGGAATACCAATACTTTTAAAGAACTAAAATTATAAAGCAAGAAACAAAATAGTATAGAGACTATCTGGTGAGTCTACTTACATAATATATATATATATATATATATATATATATATATATTACCTCTTTCTATCTACACAATCCGTTCATCTGTAAAATAAGCATGTCTCAAACACTGTGAAGCCGACAGCCTCTTTTTCGGCTCAAATTGCAACATACTATTCAATAAATCATTCCCAAACTCACACAGCCGAGGAATCAACATTTTAGGCTGCCTGGAAGGATGTGCTGGAAAATTAGTACAACTTACAGAAACACCAGCAGGCCAATTACTATCCGAAGGCCTTCCAATCAACTGAAAAATTTTATCTAACTGATCCCCATCGCTAGTCCCTGGAAATAAAGGTGCAAGATTGTACAGTTCGGCAATTATACATGCTGTGGACCAGATATCGACAGATGTGTTGTAGGGAAGACACATTAGGACTTCAGGGGCTCTGTACCACAAGGTTACAACGACTGATGTGAGTTTCATTTCAAAGTCAAAGGATTTGGCTAAACCGAAGTCGGCGAGTTTGATTCTGCCTTCTTTGGTTACTAGTAAGTTATGTGGTTTTAGGTCTCGGTGTATGATTCTGTGGCTGTGCAAGAAGTCAACACCGGTTAGTATTTCACAACTTATCTCTTTGATACGGTTTTCTGTCAAATCTCTTTGGTTTAGGTTATCAAGATAGCATGCTAGATCTTGGTTCAAGTGTTCAAAAACTAGATACAAGAGTAACTGGTTTTCCTTGTCCAGTCTTTGACCGTGGACGACATCTAATAATTTGACAATGTTTGGGTGCTGGTAGCCATCGATTTGTTTGAGTAAAGCTATTTCTCTAAGAGTAGACATGGGGATTCCATCTTCTGTCAAGGCTACTCTTACTTTTTTTAAAGCTACAATTGTACCTTGATGTAAATCTCTGGCTTTGTAAACTGTTCCATAAGCTCCTGTGCCGATAACATTCAATTCTTCGTATTGACTTGACATTGAAAAGCTTGTTGCTACTGATCTATTTGGCATAATCAACACTAACACTTAATTTTTACTAAAACTAAATTAAAGTAATAACGAAAGTAATTATATAAATTTAAACACACTTAACAAAATATAACCAATAAATATAATGAACTAACCAAAAAATAAAATGTAAATGCAACAGGTCGCTTGGCTTCGCAACGTTGACAGCACCAACATGAAGTTGTCAACAGTTATGACAACTGTTGAGATTTAAAATAAAACTTTATTTTATTTAAAATTAAATGAAATTGATAAAGAAAGTAATTATAAAAATTTAAACACATTTAAGAAAAATTAACCAATGAATATAATTATATAACCACAAAATAAAATATAAAAAAAAGCAAGTCAGTTTGCTTGGCTTTGCCCATAGATAGAGAAGAAGAGCCATGTTGACAGCACCGACATGAAGTTATCAACAACTTTGACAACCGTTAAGATTTAAAAGTGATAACTCATAAAAAATTTGTAAAAAAAAGTTATAACATCATTGTGCTTTATAAAAATTCGTATATTAATTTAATTAATTATGTTTTATTCAATTGTTTATATTAGTTTAATTATACGAAGTGTTTCATTAATCAACACCAAAAGATAATACTTGCATTAAGAAAATATAAAATTTCCTTTCTATAATGTAATATTCAATTATAATATACTGTTACTATTATAATTATTGATTTGTGATTCAATTGTGTCTTACTCGAGTTCTGTATTTGTTCAATATTGTGAAAGATTTCAGTCGATCAATCAAATGTAAGTAAGTCCTAAATTAATTACTTTAGAGATAATATGTTTAAGAAAACAATTTCTATAAAACCAACTATACCAAAATATGATTCATAGGACATTCAATATTTTACATATTATTTAAAATATACTTTAGTATAGTACTAAAGTACATATATTTTAAATAATATCTGGTTGTAAATAAATAATTTTTGAAAAAAAACAAATATTTCAAGGCGTGATTATTGCTAAAAGACATTCAAAATTTCACACATTTCTGTATGAATTACATTTATTGATTTGTGATTTTAAAATTTAATTATTCTTGCATTTTATTTATTCAATAATATGAAATATTCATCATTCAATCAAATCTGAATAAATCCTAAATTAGTTATATTATTAAAGATTCATTTGGCAAAACAATTTCTGAAATAACAAAATAGCAACTAACAAATTTAATAAAACAATGATAGTCTATATTTTCCAAAGTGTCTGCTAAAAATCTTCATACTATACCTTCCAAGAATGAAAATATAATATGCATTTTATTCAATAAAATACATTCATTAAGTGCTTGTTTTTTTTTTACTTTTTTCGTTGGCGATACAGTCTCATTTCTTGAGCAGCTGTAATAACTGTCTTGCACATAAAAATAATTTCAATTTTAATATCATCAAAAAGACATAGTAACCACAAATAATACAAATTACTTCAATAAACTATAGATTTTTTATTTGTTTATACAATGTCTATACAATGAAAGAAAGCAATCCCCACGCGACACGACAACCAATCACAATCGACCCCTATAGAAATAATATTATCGAGAGCGAATGACGAATCATTTGTACAGATTTACACCTAGTCGCGTCTAAAGAAGTTTTACTTCAAAAAAATATTGATAACTTCATCTGATAGAATTGTATATAATAAAAACTTCTGTTCCAATAATAATCTGCTGTATCTCAGAAAATTGCTCACTTTTCAAATTAATAAAAAAAAAGAATATAAAAAAGATAATTAAATTAATAATTCATATCATATAAAATTTTATTATAAATATTCTCTTATCTCAATAAATTATTATTGCTTATGTGCTAAATACAAAGTAACAATACTTGTAATAGCACTGACTAAAAATATAACATCAAACCATCGATGATAGAAATTAAATTGCAAATCTCCCAAAACTTGTGTTATAATAACTCTGTATTCAGCAGGCATATTCATTCTCATCAGAAGTACGGATGAACAAAAATGCATTCCCATTATTTGAGCTAACACTAGAACAATTATATTCGAGGACTTGCTGCTTGATATTTTATAAAAGAACTGCAAATAATAAAAATTGAGATGTAGAACGATTTTTGTATAGATTATTTACAAAAACACAAACCTTTGTTAGTGTTAACAATAAACCTCTGATGCTTGTAACAACTATACAACCGACCAAGAAAAATGATATGTGTTGGGACCAAAAGGCTACTGAATCAATTTCCAAACCAGCCCAAATAACTGCTATTTCCAAAGCTCTGGTTACAGGGTCTTTACGTCCAACTCTGTCAAAAACTATATTAATTGTGGACTAAAAATAGAATGATTATTTTTAATATTTGCAGAAGCATTTGGTATGTTAAGAACGTACTATAAAAATTTTCCAAACGCAGTACAAAGAAAAGAAGTACCCCAATGCATTGAAATAATGTCCTTGCCAAGTTTTAGACCACAATTCTTTCTCTCGCATATTATGTGCAGAATGAGCCTCCAAAAAGAGTTGTCTGCTCAATTCTTCAAGTGCTTCTATTTCTTGTTTTAGTTGTGATACATCTAATATATATATTTTGTTTATTAAATATATCATTAAAACAAATTTTTCTAAATATGTATTTAAATTGTACATACTTTCAGTCCCAGTTTTTATTGTAACAGATGTAATCATTCCCCAAATACCACCACTACTGGGTGTCTTCTCACGCTTTTTATTCAAAGCTATTCTTTTCTTTTTCACTAATATCATATCCATAGTCTGCAGTAATCTTTTCTCCACAGTCATCACATCAGCTTCAGATACTGGACTTTAAAAACAAATTTATAAACACCCATCCACACTATTTCATACTATCTATTACTATAACTACCGAATAAAATATGCCATGCTCGTGTATGGATAATTTACAGCACCAAAACCACTCAAAACAGCCATGACTGTAACCCCGATTACACCAATTCTAGAAACAGCTTGTTCCAAACACAAAACACTACGTTGCTTTCCAGCAAGTAATGGAAATGGGTCACCAATTTTCCAAAAACAATATAAAAATAGTAACCATACTGTGAGTGTTAGAGGCCTGATGAGATCACTTCTAACTAAGAAAAATAAACATGAGTTTATATAGGAATTATTTTATTTGTATTGTGGTTGTGACCAACTCACCATAACGTATATTGCTTATGCAAAAATAGGCTATATAGAAAGGTATTATTGCGATCACCATTATGAGTAAAAGGTATAAACCTAGTTGCCAGTGGAAGTATCGAGAACTGGAATTTAATAAAAAATAAATTAACAAATGGAATGGAATCAACAAATATATAAAATACATGTCCTACTACCTCGAATCTAAATATCCAATAATCTCAAATATAATCAACTCGAACATTGTTAAAGACAAGGCAAGAGTGACAGAGAATATTAATTGGACCAAAGTATGATGTACTTCGTAGTCTCGAAATAACTTCTTTACAAAAAATACCCATCCTCCAGCAAAAAAGAAGACCTGAGTATTAAAATTCAATATATAAACATAACCTCATTTGACAAGTATAAATTTCATTTTATCTCACTTGGGAGATTAATATAATAAGTGTATCCTCCAGAAAACCCATAATGAATATCAATTGATACTTTGTGCTTCACTAAATATTTTTAATCTTATTGAAATATATATTTGTATATTTATATTGTGCTTTATTAATAAACATTGTGTATTTTACTACTGTCAACGTGACAGCTAGTGATGCCAATAGAGAAAAGCACATGGTGAAGATAAACACAAAGTAAAAAGTGTTGCAAACCACAGAGTAATGAAAAAACGTTGCATTCAAATTTTAAAATACATTGAAAATTGTGAAGAATATTTGAAACTCTTTTTACTTCACCTGGTTTAGTAGTACGTAGTAATCGAAAAACCTCATAATTAACAGTAATTAAAATTATTTGTATGACAAAGTTTTATATTAGAAAGACATTTTTTATCATTTTCTGGCAAAGATACCTTTTTCTTCATGAAGTTAGGAATACAGCAAAATCAAAAACACATTATCAGATTGTTTTAAGTAAAACTTCTTTAGGCGCGACTAGGGTGTAAATGCAACGGAAGAGCGTTACGCTCGAGTCAAGTGCCAATGATTCGTCATTCGCTCTCGATGATATCATTTCTATACGGATCGATTGTGATTGGTCGTCGTATCGCGTGTGTATGATTGCTTTGATTATTGATTGCATGAAAATATAGTGAAAATAATAAAACTAAGGAAAAATCTGTGCCGTGTAATAAACGTAAGTTCATTGAAATAATTTTTATTATTCGTGGTTACTATATATTTTCAACTTCCTGTAGGGTAAGGTATTGTAATCGTCCAAAAATCGAGATTTTTGCATTTCTCGACGTTTTGAAGGTTTTTGAACATTTTGGCATACCTCGAAAAAATGGATGTGTGTGTGTATGTATGTGTGGATACAATTTTTCGTCAACGTTTTCGGGCGCACGGATCAACCGATTTGAATAGTTCAAAAAAACATTGGATTCCTATTGGTAGGGAGATGTGCTGATTAGTTTTTGGCAAAGGCAGGTCTAGCCGTTGCGGAAATAAAGAGCAAAGAGTGCAGAAAATAGAAATCGAATTTTTGAGAGAACGGAGATTCCGATTTGAATAATATAAAAAACATTCAATTTGTAATTATTGGGGGAATTGGTGATTAGTTTTTGGCAAAGGCAGGCCCAGCCATTTCAAAGATACAGAGCTAAATGTGCAAAAAATGGCAGTTTTTGAGAGAAATAAGCATCTGATTTGAATGATTGAATAACATTCTGCTTGTGTTCACAAAACAATTGCTTTAGGGAAAAAATCCATTCACTTTTTTTTGGAAAATAATTTAGATTTTAATTTTAATTTTGGTTAAAGTTCTAAAGCTTACTTATATTCTTTAAGTGAATAATTTTAACTTTGTAATTCACTTTGTATAATTCTTCTAAATATTAGACGATATTACAATTACAGCATTTATAATAATCCATTTTTTCAGATGGATTATTATTAATATTTATTTATTTATTAATTTTACAAGCCGTCGGTATAATAATATTTTTTTTTTTTTTATTTTCATATTATATAACAATCAGAGTTATTTACATACCCTATGAGTTATATGGCTAAATTACACATAATAATAATAATAATAATAATCACAAAAATAAATGAAAAAAAAAATAACAATAATAATAATAAATAAATAAATAAAAATAGATAAAAAAATAGAAGAAAAAAAAATAAAGAAAGTAAAAAGAAACAAAAGAAAAAAAAAATTGTAGTAATTGCTCCAATAAGCAATTGACTATGGAAAACAATTTTTTTACATTAGGTCTATAGGCTGTTTCTTGCGTAGTCTTCTTATAGGTGGATTATCGAACAGATGAGCCAAAGTTGCATTAGGATGTTCAAGAATTTTAGCATGATGTCCAGTACTGATATTCTTGATGACATCCACTACGAAAGGGATGTTGAGGTCATCGTGTATGATTTTGTTGCTGACAAACCACGGGGCATCAGTAATCGTCCGTAGTGTTTTAGATTGCAAACGTTGAACAAGTCCCACATTTGATTTGCTACAACATCCCCACAGTTGGATTCCATACGTCCATACAGGTTTGATTATGGTCTTATAAATTAGAAGCTTATTATCTAATGATAATTTTGATCTACGACCAATAAGCCAATTTAATTTTGAGAGTGTAAGTTTAATTTGTTTTATTTTGGCTACGATGTGCGGCTTCCAGGTTAATCTGCGATCCATGTGAATACCCAAGTACTTGACTGTGTCTTTGGTTGGTATTTGTCTTTCATTTATGTACACAGCTTGACAAGTTGACTTATTAAGTGTGAAGGTAATATGAGTTGACTTCGTATCATTAATTTTGATGCGCCATTTTTTTGTCCAGGTTTCTATTTCATTGAGATGATTTTGTAGGATATTGGAAGCAAGAGTAGGATTTTCATTGCTAGCCAAAATCGCAATATCATCAGCAAAAGTAGCAGTGGTAGAGCTCGCCATGGTTGGAAAATCACTAGTATATGTAAGGTACAGAAAAGGGCCCAAAACGCTTCCTTGCGGAACACCTGATTTAATGGGAAAAAGTGATGATGATTCACAATTATTTCTAACTTTATACCATCTGTTAGTTAGGTACGATTCTAAAATTTTGTGAAAGCAAGGCGGCAGCAACCATTTAATTTTTGCTAAAAGTCCTTCATGCCATACTTTATCAAAGGCCTGGCTTACATCGAGAAACACTGCTGAGCAGTATTGTTTGGATTCGAAAGTTTTATGAATTAAATTCACGATTTTGTGGCACTGTTGGATTGTAGAGTGCTGCTTGCGAAATCCAAATTGATGATCAGGTAGTATGTTAGATTCGGTTACTATATCTTCAAGCAGTAGTTTTTCAAAAACCTTCGACAGAATGGGTAGAAGGCTAATTGGTCTGTAGGACGTAACCATACTTGAATCTTTTCCATTTTTGGGTATCATTTTGATAACGGATATTTTAAAAGACTTAGGCCAGTACTCCAATCTCAGCATTGAATTAAATATGTATGTTATGAAGATATACGCTTTAATTGGTAATTCTTTTAACATTTTGGATGAAATATTATCAATCCCAGGAGATTTTTTACTATCCAGTTTAGTAATTACTGAAACAATCTTCTTCAGAGAGTAAAATCTTTTCTTGAAGTTGACAGAAGTGTGTGGTGTGCGAGGCTGTTGGTGCAAGTTATATGTATTAGATTCAGCTGCATGCGGTTGAAAAACTGAACTAAGATACTCAGCAAAAAGTTCTGCTTTTTCCTTGTCATCTCTAGCCCAGCAACCGGCTGCATCATTTCGTATAGGTGGATTTCTGATGCACGGCTTATTTCTAGACTTAATGGGACGCCAAATAGAATTGTCAAAGCGATTGAGGTTAGACACGTAGTTGGCGAAACTAGAATCATTTAATTCTTTAAGCCTAGTTTTGAGCTTATTGTTCAGATTATTAAAAATATTTCTGTCTTGGGGTGTGTGGCTGTTTTGCCATTTTCGCCTGGCTTTCCTTTTATTGGCTATTAACCTTTTAATCTCCAATGATATACCTGAATGAGACGATTTTGCAATATCAGGTGTTGCAAAACTAGATGATTCAAGAATAACTTTATTAAGTATTTCGATTGCAGTTTCAATTTCTGTCTCAGTCTTCAACCTTGTTTGAAGATTTATATTGTTTTCAACTCTAGTACGAAATATTTCCCAGTTTGTCTTGTTGTTGCAAAATCTTGGGTTGCGAGAAAAATTCAAATACGTTGAACTGATACTGGCTATTATTGGCGAATGGTCGGAAGAAAGATCATAACTAGAATATACTTCTGCGTAAGATGGGTTTATAACATTAGTTATAAAAAAATCCAATAAATCAGGCTGCTTTCTGGGATCGCTGGGCCAATACGTTGGAGAACCAGTGGACAAGCACAAATAATTGTGTTGCTGAATAACATTAAACATTTGTCTTCCTTTGGGATTTATTAGCCTAGATCCCCAATGAGTATGTTTGCTATTAAAATCCCCCCCTACTAAGAATTTGGATCCTAAGGACTCAAAAAATTCATAAAATTGATCACTGGTTATTGAATGACGTGGAGGACAATAGACAGCAGAGATGGTAAGGTCGTATGATAGAAGTTTTACGGTTACTGAAGTTGCTTGTAAAAATTCCTTGGAGTATTTTTCTAACTCGTAGTGCACAATGTTTGATTTTATTATAATTGCTGTACCTCCATGTGCAGTACCATCTGGATGTTGAGTATGGTAGAGGTTATAGTGAGGAATATATAGATTTGAATATTGAGTGAAATGGGTTTCACTCACTAAAAGGATATCAATTTTATTTTCTATTAAAAAAAGATTCATCTCGTTCTTATGTTGGGTTAAACCGTTTGAGTTCCATAAGCATATTCTAATGAATTTAGCCATTATTTATATTTATTGATGATGGTCGATAGCATATTTAATACTATCGAGTTTTGTTGCATTAGTTGATTGAACATAGCTTTAAATTCATTTAAAAATTGAACTAAAGTAGATTCTTGAGAAACAGGTGAGTTGTTTAAATTCGATTGTTGACCTTTCATAGCCTGGGCATATGACAAATGATTAGTGGTGGCGATTCTGTAGGTTTTATTGTTAGCAGAATTTATATTTCTATTATTCGATTGGTGATTATTATTTACTGGAGAAGTATTGTTTGCAGAATTTTTGACTTTACTCACTTTTTGATAGTATGGGCATCCTTTATAATTTGCAGGATGTGGGCCAAAGCAGTTGGCACAAACTGCTGCAGTCTCAGCTGGCTTAGTGCATTTAGATGTTATGTGGTTATCTCCGCATTTGACACAGACATAAAGCCGGTTACAATATGCTTTTGTATGCCCGTACAATTGACATCTACTGCATTGTACGATGGTTGACCTTTGGGGTGGCTCAAAATGTATTATTTGATTTAATATTTTTGTTAAATTAAAAATTGTGGAGTTATAAGTGTTTGGTTCCAAGTCGATATAAAACATATTGAGCG